AATCTCTTGGTGGATTTTCGTCTCAGGTTATTTGGTCGAAACTAACGACGGGACGTGTGCCGCAATAGCTGTGGAAGAATCTGGCGCAAGTGGGCAACTAAACTGAATTGTAAGATGCCCAGTGGATCCGTTATGTTAATTCGGAAGGCCCATAGAAGCACATGAATAACTAAGCACAAAATAATGCGTTTGTGCATCCCTCGTGGTGAACACGCACAAATAAAACATTAGAGATGGGCTCTAAATGTTGGTTAGCACATATTTCTGACTGTTTCGATGAATAAAGACCAAACGGCCTTCATTTGGAGGTTTAGCATTATACAGTAGTCGGCAGTCAAGGCCTGATTGACGAAAAAATGAGACATAGCCAAGACGAAAAAAGTAAAATGTTAGAATATGCACCAGAGATTAATCCTATTTGTGAAACAGAAGGATAGCACTGAATCCAGAAACGGAGATGCATCCGACCTATGAAAATCTCTGTAGGGTGAATGAGCTGTTCGTCATCAGCAGGTGAACTGAGTGCGTAAGCTTCAGTTAGTACAACCATTAACCACTCACATTCATGCGCCAGTTTTGGTTGCTGTCTTTTAGCCGCTCAATTGGATAAAATAGCAGAATGAAAATTGCAATGTTGAAAGCAAATATAAGCGGAAGATGGAGAATTCATATAGAGTGGTGTTAGGAGAATAATGAGTGGATGCACGAGCGCCACTGTTTGCGACACCCAGTGTCTCTAACCACTGATGAACATCATCTCGAGGGCAAACTGGAAATGATATGAACCTATCTGGAAGTTAGTCCTAGATAATGCATTTCTCAAGAACCAGTATACTTGAATGGAAACGGCTAGGACGCAATGCGTTTGCGACGCCGCAGTAGAATGAAATGCACAGGTTTACTGTCACCCGATTCGGTAGCATGTAGTGATTGACCCTGGTCCCCCCGCTTATCCCAACGACTAAGGTTGACGGTTTCATATTCGAGTAGCATATCGTCACCAATAAAAATGACAAAGTAAAATCGCTATTGAGACAACAGTTGGCATACGAAGGTTTGTTTATTACAGTAATAATTGTTTTCACACAAAATGCAGTAAGTAGGTGAAGTCAGACAATGCGAAAAGTTAGTTGTTATTTAAACCCAACGCGTGTTCCAGATCTTGTCTTCTTTGAGAAATCTGAAAAAGGAGAGAAGCATTAGTGAGCAAACATATAACCCGATTTCATACAGCAAAAGAGAAGCACAGGGTTTGTCGTGCAACGCCGGTAGAACAAGTATATCACTACGAAATTGGACGCGTCAAATGTATCCGACTTCGATATTTTATTATCTAAAGTGACCAGTGATTCATGAGATTAAACACATGGCAATCAGTTAATTCCTGTTGTAAAGATGTTACTCAATGAAAAATAAATGATAATTAAGGTATGCGAATTCTAGCAGAGCGCAGCATGTAAAAACGCACAATGATGCTGTCAGACTGAACGATTTCGTATTTATTCATTACATCTCACAAACGTGAATCTAGATGGTACCAAACAGTTCAAGTTGATGCCAACTGGCTTAGGCCGAACCCTGAGGTTTCATATCACCACCCAACTTTAATGATGAGCGGTTTTGTTGTCCGTCAGTTCCATAGCAAATCCAACTTATTCGGGTTTAATTTAGTGTATGAGGTTTGAGAGCGGCCCTGATAGCGCATCGTATATAGAAACTGTTTAGACAGAACGTTGGTGTTGGTGGTTATCCTCTCTCCAATGTTGCAATAAGGTACCTACCTGATCTATAATCTACATAGCCATAGAAACCTACTGCACATGTGGGTGAGGTGCAAACAGCGTATTGTCAGATCACAGAGCTCTGACACGAGAGAATTAGCATGACCGACTGAAGAAAGCGATGTTAACCGTATTGATGGAGTCCGAGGTTACATTTCCAATAATTAAACATTCAAAGCCACAAAAAATTATTTCTACTGTTTTGGATAGATAACAAGCATGTGGTTATTTTGGAGGCGCATCTGTAAAGATTGGCATATATATATATATATATATATATACAGGTGTTGACCAAACTCGTGCAACATCACCCTCATTTTGAAAATCCATTTCAGCTTGCAATACCATAGTTATATACAGATGGCTTTGAGTAAACTGTATTTATTCCCGACTATATCTACAACATCTGTGTTCTTTGTTCATTGTTATCACCATTTGAATGTGCGCGACCTTGAGTATCGCTATAAAATTTGCAGTAGTTCAAAAGTTACAGCTCTGATTTAGAAAATATTTTGGGCAAAGCAGCATGGGACGTTATCCCTTTTAACAGACGATTCCTGTTCCATAAGAGTTTCTATACAGTTGAGCACACGTATTCTAAATTTCTATTCTCTTTTCATTCAGTGCATAGTAAATAAGCAAATTATTGAAAATATTCTTACCTGAATAAATTGCTAAATTATTAGGCTACAAACTACTCACGCATTATCTCCAATACAGAGAGAACTGAAAACATAGCCCAAGAACACACACAAGTTGATCTTCGAAATTTGACCTTGAGGTGT